ACCAGCCCTTTGGGCGCAGGTGGTTTAACGAGTTTTGCCTTCTCTTTGCCAAAGCTCCCTCCTTCCCCTGCTCGGGGGAGACGGCCACTACTGCTTCTTATTCATATACACCTCCTCCCCCACCCGACCGGCGGCAGACCCGGGTCATGAGGCCCCCCCCTGCCACCCCCCCCCCCTATCCCTGTCAAAAAATTATCCTGGCGAAAGACCCAACCATATGCAGTTGTGAGTGCCGCAATTGTGAGTACCTTCTTCGGTGGTGCTCCCTATGGGGCCACGGGCCGCATGAGGGGCATGCCGAAATATGGCGGGGTACACAACGCAAAGGAATACGATTGGTCAGATTACGAAAGAATGAACGCGGGTGAGCCGGAGCGCGAGAGAGTCTGAGTGTGAATGGGTCTGCGTGGGAGTGAGTATATTTGCATGAATGCGATCTTGGCTACGCCTAGTGTAAATGTATATGAATGTGAATTGCTCGAGCATGCCTGTCCGAACACTTGTGACACTGGGCGTGGCCGCCGCAGGCAGCTTCCGCGGGAACCCCGACGGCAGCGCCCGCGCGCCGCGACGCCCATGTCGGCACGCCCCTTCACGGGGATCGCACCCGCTTCCGTCCCTTCCTTTCCCCCCTCTTTGCCTGCGCGCTCCAAAAATCCAAAACTGCGGGCGCAGAGCAGCGCGGAGTCCCCGCGACGCGCGCAGGTCGCCGCGGAGGGGTCCCAGCGACGCGCGCAAGTCGTCCGCTGCGCGGAGCACAGAGAGCTAGCCGGCCGGCTGATTGCGGGCAAGGCTCCGGCCGCTGGGCAGAGCGACGACGGGCGAGCGAGGCGCTGAGCAGAGCGCCGCGCGGAATCCCCGCGACGCGCGCTGGTCGCCCCGAGAGGGCCCCAGCGACGCGCGCGGGTCGTCCGCGGCGCGAGGCCGAACAATTATGCGGGCAGTCGAGAGAAGGCGCGGCTCGGGGGGGGCGCTCCTCAGGTCAGGCCTCGCGGATAAACTCGGTGAAGCCGAGCTCCCTGGCGAGGGCCGTCGCCTCCCTCCTGCACCGCTTCGCGCGCGCTGCAAACTGCTCCAGCTGCTTTCGCAGGCCCCCCGGCGGTCCTGCCAGGAAGAACTCGATGCGCGGCGCCCGCATGAGCAGGAGGTCCTCGTGGCGCGTGGCGCGCGAGAGCAGCACATAGAGCTCCAGCCACCAGTCGTCGTCCTCCTTCTTGCCGTTCCCGACCTCGTGGCGGCCGCAGTCCAGGATCACACCTGGGCGACTCGGCCGAGGGAGCAGTGCGCCGGGCAGCCGACGGCCCAGGGCGAGAGTCCACAGGACCGAGGTCTGGCCGCGGACTGCTCGCGCCCCGGAGGTCTGGCCGTCCCCGGAGCGCCGTTCCCCCGCCCCGTCGCCTTCGCGCATGGTGCGCCCCTGGCACGCCATGCGCGCAACTGGGGCGGTGGCGCCATGCGAGCTGCGCCACTTGGACCTCAGGTGGAGCTCCCTGAGGGGCCACGAAATCTGTGAGGGGTGTGCCAAAATGGGGCGGTGGCGCCATGCGAGCTGCGCCACTTGGACCGTAAATGGAGCTCCCTATGGGGCCACGAAGCGTGTGAGGGGTGTGCCAAACAGGGGCGGTGGCGCCATGCGAGCTGCGCCACGTGGACCTTAGGTGGAGTTCCCTATGGGGCCACGAAACGTGGGAGGGGTGTGCCAAAAGGAGCTCCCTGAGGGGCCACGAAATCTGTGAGGGGTGTGCCAAAATGGGGCGGTGGCGCCATGCGAGCTGCGCCACTAGGACCGTAGATGGAGCTCCCTATGGGGCCACGAAACGTGTGAGGGGTGTGCCAAAATGGGGCGGTGGCGCCATGCGAGCTGCGCCACTTGGACCTTAGGTGGAGCTCCCTATGGGGCCACGAAACGTGTGAGGGGTGTGCCAAAATGAGTGTGCGGGACGCATGCGGGCACACCCACTGGGACCTTCGGTGGAGCTCCGTATGGGGCCACGAAACGTGCGATAATGGCGACGAGGACAACGATGATGGTGATGACGACGATGATGGTGATGATGACGATGATGGTTATGATGGCGGCCATGATGTTGATGCTGATGACGATGATGATGATAATGATGATGGTGATGATGATGATGACGATGATGATGATGATGACGATGAGGATGATAGGAGGGGAGAGGAGGCGGAGGAGGAGAGGAGGAGGAAGGAGACGCGGGGCACCGTCTCTTCAAAACGAGGACCCAACACCACAGGACGGTTGGGAACATTGCAACGTACATATTGCGGCAAAATCTGGCCAGTGCGCGGGCGCTCCTTGATCACTTTGTATTGTCTTTTGATAGGGATGGCGGGAGTGTTCTCATGTTGTCCGCTCTGTGGAGGCCCACCATCCCTCTCAAAAACCTATACGAAGTGCCCTTGGTAACAACATCCTGGCTAATGTCCAGGCCCCCCGCGATCACTTTGTTTTTTTTTTGTGACAGGGACGGCGGGGGTGCCCACATATTGCTTGGTGTGTTCAAAACTGGAACAATGCTAACACCCCCCACATCATCCGTGTCGAAAAAAATGCAAGGCGCACTTTGCGGCAAATTCTTCGACCATGCACGGGTGTGCGCGATCATGTTGTATTGTTGTTTGACAAGGATTGCCGGGGGGGCCGCGTATTGTATGGTGTGCGCGAGCCCACCATCCCTGTCAAAGGCAAATGTAAAATTATACTGGTGGATGCACCACGCGCCATGCTAATCACCCCGCCGCAATTCCGCATTGGCGCATGACCTGGATGTTGGAGTTTGACACGAACCCTTATGTGTGCTGTCAGATGTACTTGCGCACCTGGCACAATCTGCGCGCGCCGCGCACGTGTCGCACCTGGCGCGGGTGGAGCACGTGGCGCACCTGGCGCATGTAGAGCCCGCGTCGCGCGTCGCGCACGTGGCGCCCGTTTGGTTCCCAGTGGCTGCCCATCCATTGGCGACCCCGGGCTATGACGGGACTCGGGGGCAACTAATGCGGGAGGGCGGGTGGGAGTGAGCGAGACGGCTTGCGTCTGGGAGTTGTCTTGACCTCTCCCACTACCCCCTCCACTGGGCCTGGGAGGGCGGGGGGGGGGGCACGAGACTTAGAGCCCCCAAGATCGCCCAAGACAGCCCCAAGATGGCCTCAGAGAGTCCAAGATGGCCTCCAAAATGGCTCGAGATGGCTCGAGATGGCTCGAGGGTGCTCAAGATAGCCTCCGACATACCTCCAAGAGGCCCCAAGACAGCCCCAAGACGGTTTCAAGTGCCCGCCAAGCCCTCCAAGGACCCCCCCAAGAGGCCAAAACGGCTCCAAAATCAAAGGGAAATCGCTGTTTTGGGCGTTTTCCCGCTTTCGCATCCGATGGGCTTCGGAAGCCTGAAGATGGCGCCAAGACGGCACAGGAAGGGGCCCAATAGGGCCCAAGAAATCCCCAAGAGCGCCCAAGAGCCCCAAGAGCGGCCCAAAAAGGTCCCAAAACGCCCTTACTTGGCCTCCCAGAGGGCTCGGGTGCCTTTTGGAGCCCTCTTGGGGCTTCTTGAGGCGCTCTTTGAGCCCTCTTGGGAGCCTCTTGGGGGCTCGGTCAAAAGGGGGGGCACGATCCTCGTGAGGGGTGGCAAAAAAATCGCCCTCCCAATGGCCGAAAAAGGAGCCTCCGACACCTCGCGATCCCTCCAACAAATCTCAGGGAGGGGAGGGGGAGGGTTCCCCTCCCCGAGGGGAAGAAGGGTTGTCGAAGAGGAAAGTGACCCTCGTTAGACCACCTATCGCCCAAAGGGCTGGTGGGATGTTCAAAAGAATTCGCGGGTTCCCATCATCAACGTACCAGATAGTGCGTTTGGGAAGGAGTCCGGATTTTGCGGGTGCAACAGTTACATTGCTTCTCCGTGTTGAAGTCCTGGGCATGGCGTTCTGGCACGATTCGGGATCGCCAAGACGCAACAGTCAGGTTGCTCCGTGGCGCTGGAATCCCGAGAACCATGCTTTGGCATGCTTCAGGGTCTTCAAACGGGTGTCTTTCAACGAGGCGGGTCCCGCAATGGAAATGATTCGTTGCAGGGGCCAATGAAGAGGGAGCTTGGAGGGAGGGCTTACTCCAACATCGTTGATGACTCTTGGGTTTACACTGGTCCTCGCAGACCTCGCAGACCTCTGCACGCCTGGTCAATCCCCCTTCCTCCTCCTCCTCCTCCTCCTCCTCCTCCTCCTCCTCCGCCTCCTCCTCCCACTCCCTCCCTGCGCTGCTTCAGGGGCGGGGGCCCTGTTGGAACCCCCGCCGCCATGGGGCCGACCGTGCGCTTCTGCCTGCACACAATCGCGAGCAGGAACATCCTGTTGCCGTCGCTGCCGAATCTCCGAAGGAGCTCCGCGTGGAGCGCGTCCACGTGAGACAGCTCGTCGGTCGTCGCCAGGGCGCGCACGAAAAGCGTGGTGGCAGAGGTTTGGCCTATCTCGAACAGGCGGTCGATGCGCCGCTGCAGCTTGCATTTCGTCTCAGGCTGGCGGATGTCGTCATGCCAGAACGAGTGCCCGTTCCCTCGGAACGCTAGCAAATTGGTGCACGGCACCTCTATCGGACCGCTGAGCCCGTCGTAGAAGGTGCCGAAATCTGTTTGAATGAATTCTATCACCTGGGGGAACAAAACGACACTGCTCTGGCTACTCCGCAGGCCGCTCCCAGGGGACGTCCTGACCAGGATGTCGAAGCGACTGGAGGGAAAGAAAACGGTGACCATGACCGGGACTGAACGCGAGAACGTTGGTGCCGTTCTTGGTCACCGTCCATCTTGTTCACCGTCGATTCGTGGATCATCCTCGCGAATCGGTATGGCTGACGAACGAACATCGGACGTTGGCAGAACTGGGTTTAGTGGGACCTGGTTTAAGGATGTGTACTGGGGGACGCCCCCCCCGCCCCGTTCCACTAACCGGAACTGCCGTCACCCGAAAAACACAAGCTACGGCTGACCTGGTTTAGTGATTCTGGCCAATTTAGGGGCTCGGGGGCCCTACCACTAAACAGGTCCACTTAGCTGGGGTCCTGGCTATACCCGAGAACAACACACACACACACACACCCATACGGTAGCTTCGTGCGGCGTCGGCGCGCGCGAAGGTTTTTGTCACCTCGTCGATCGCTCAACCTTGAATCGATCGCGGCCCCGATCCTTCAAGGTTGAAGTCAGTCGGGTCCAGGGGCGTTGCCGTGTCCATCGGTGCTTGTGCGTCGCAGAATTCGATCAACCTTGCACGCCGTCGCCAGCGTCGCCGGCGCGCCAACGCCGCATGAACCTACCGTACCCACAGGGGGGACGGGCGGGGCTGTGCGTGCGTGCTGTCGGATGGGGGTCCTCGCTCGAACGGGGGCCTCTCCAGGCGTCCGGCAGCCCGCGCCCATGCCCACAGCCAGGCCTCCTCCCTCCGACCTCCCTACGGGTACAGTGTGGGCGGAGGAGGAGGAGGAGGAGGAGGAGGAGGAGGAGGAGGAGGAGGAGGAGGAGGAGGCGGAGGAGGAGGACGAGGAGGAGGAGGAGGAGGAGTGCGTCATTCCTTCGTCGCGCGGCCGCCTTCTCTATCCGCGTCCGCATCCAGTCGAGCGGCAGCGTGGCCGCCCCGGCGCCCAGCCTCCGGAAGCTGAGCTTCACCCCGCAGTAGCACCCCAGCGACACCAGCGCGACCCCGCCCTGCGAGAGCTCCTCGTCCGCGGCGGTCGGCTGATCTCCTGCTTGGGCGCCCGAGTTATCCGGGGTAACTCGGGTCCGGGATAAAACTCGGGCTCGGATTCCCGAAAAGCGAACCCGAGTTGGCCCTGACCCGAGTTACCCCTGATGATTCGGGGCTCTGGACGCCCGAGTTATCCGGGGTAGCTCGGGTCCGGGGTAACTCGGGCTTGGATTCTCGAAAAGCGAACCCGAGTTAGCCCTAACCCGAGTTACCCCTGATGATTCGGGGCTCTGGACGCCCGAGTTATCCGGGGTAGCTCGGGTCCGGGGGGGTAACTCGGGCTTGGATTCCCGAAAAACGAACCCGAGTTAGCCCTGACCCGAGTTACCCCTGATGATTCGGAGCTCTGACCTGAGGTGTTCTTTCAATCTGATGTGTGTTCCTCTCGAGCTCCCTTAGATGCATGTTTTCTCAGGCGCTAGGCCTGGTTCAGGTGGAACCGTCGCCCTTGCCGGGCTTAAAACCTGATCTCCAGAGGCTGCGGAGAAAGGAGGGAACTGCGTGTTTTTGAAGCCGGATCCGGCTGAAGAAAACATGCAGTTCACTCAAGCCGGATCCGGCTTCAAAAACACGCAGCTCACTCAGGCCGACTTGAGTACAGCGCCGAGGGAGGGCAGCAGCAGGTTCGAGCTGCGATGGGTTCACGAATCAGCGCTTGCACATCGCGCTGGCCCGCTCGTGCGCATCCGTTTGCGTGCGGGGCTGGCGAGCTGCCTGCCCAAGTCAGTGGCCGCCTGCACTGCCCTGTCGGCAGCAATCACTTCCAGCGCCACATCCTGGGGCACCGGTCGGTCCCCGGGGGCGGGAGTTGGCGGCGCGCAAAAGGGGGTAGGGAGAGGGGGGAAGGCTTCTTAGAAGCATGCCTTACGTCTACAGAGAAGGCCCGCGCCTTCTGAGAAGCAGGGGTGCTTCTAAGAAGCCCTCCCCCCTCCCCCCACCCCCCTCTGCGCGTGGCTGAGTGCGGGGCTGGCGAGCTGCCTGCCCAAACCAGTGGCCGCCTGCACTGCCCTGTCGGCAGCAACCACTTCCAGCACGACATCCTGGGGCACCGCCTCCTCCTCCTCCTCCTCCTCCTCCTCCTCCTCCTCCTCCCTCCTCCTCCTCCTCCTCGGTTGGTCCCCGGGGGCGGGGGGAGGCGCGGGGGCTCCGCAGGCGGGCGGCGGCGCACGCCGCGGGCAAAAGAGAGGACACAGCTGCCGGATCTCGGGGCCTCGGGGGCCTCCCTGGGGGAGGCGGGGCCCTCGGGGAGATCGGGCAGGGGACGGCCGCCCCGGCACCTCCTGTGGGCCCACCACGGCTTTGCCTTGAAAAACCCAAGGAAGCGCCAAAATGACAATAGAATTAGCAAGATGAGCACCAAACAGAAAGCGCCAAGAGAACATGAAGAAACCCAAGAAAGCGCCAAGAAAGCGCCAAAAGAACATGAGCCCGATGGATTAACACAAGATAACAAAAGACGGCCTCCGCCAGAAATGTGCTGAGAGCACCTCCTGCAGGCCACAACCGGTTCTCAGCACCTTCTCCGGGGGCACCCAACTTCAACGCTGCGCGCGGCGCGAAGCGCGAAGGGCGACTCACTTCGCACTCTCGCGCCGCCTCCCAGGGGAGAAGAGGAGGAAGAGGACTCGGAGCCCCAGACATGCGACGTCCTGATTTTTTCAGGACGGCGTCCCTGGAAATCCAGACCCTTTCCCCGGGGCCGGTTTTTCGTCCTGACTCGTTTTTTGACGGTCCCGAGGCCCGGCGAGGGCCCCCAGGGGCCGAATATAGCGAAAAACCTCCCGTCCTGAGTTTTTTACGACGCCGTCATGTCTGGGGCCGAACCGCGAGGCGCGAATAACTTCGCGCCCTCGAGGGCGCCCTTGCTTCTTCGGTGGGCCCGTGGGCAAGCCAGGACGCCTCGCCGCTGCTCGACGGGGACGCCCTCGCCCGGGGCAAAGCCCGAGCCCGGCTCGGCCGGGGCCCCGCCGCGTCCCCAGACATCGATGGCGTCTTAAAAAAAAAATCAGGACGGGAGGTTTTTCGCTACTTTCGGCCCCTGGGGGCCCTCGCCGGGCCTCGGGACCGTCAAAAAACGAGTCAGGACGAAAAACCGGCCCCGGGGAGAGGGTCTGGACTTCCAGGGACGCCGTCCTGAAAAAATCAGGACGTCGCATGTCTGGGTCAGGCCCGGCGGGCAGCTCCGCAGCTCCCAGACCCGGGTCAGCGGGAGGCGGAGAAGGGGATCGGCCACACGTGGCCCCCAAACCCGGGTCAGCCAGCAAGGACTCCCAGACCCCCTCGCGTCTGTATTATTTCACACCAAAAAAACAAAAAACATGAAACAGGCTTTTCGCTATTGTCGGCCTCCGGGGACCCTTACCGGGCGTCGGGACCGTCAAAAAACGACTCGGGATGAAAAACCAGTCCCGGGGAATGGGTCCGGACCTCTGGGGGTCGCGTCATGACAAAGTCAAGACGTCGGGGTCTGGGTTGGCTGACCAGGCCCCCGCTAGCTGGGGAAGCCAAAAGGTACCGGCACCGCTAGGCCCCAGACCTCTCCTGGCGTGCGTCCCGACCAGCATTCCGAGGCGAAGCCAGCAGGGGCGACGAGGGCCTCCGAGGAGGCCCAAGCAGGGGAGAACGGGGGAAGGTCAGCAGCATAGGTACCTCTTCCTCCCGTGGTTGGCGCTGGCCGTCGTCGCGCGGGCCCCGGGCCCCGAGGCCCGGGCCGCTCCTGGCCCAGGGGCGGCCAAGGAGGGGGGCATCCCAGAGGGGGTGGGCGCCTACAATGGCCGGCGGCACGTGCGCGGCCCAAAGGGAAGGGGGGGGGGGAGCGGGGACGCACTGAACTGCGAAGAGGCGCCATGAAATCTGGGGAGATCTCACGGCCTCCGCCACGAGGTCCACCCCACCCCTGGTCGTCACCCCGCCCTTGGCCGCCCCCGAGTGACGGCAGCCCGCTCCTGGCGACTCGGAGGGCGGGATGCCGCCCTCCGGGGGGCACGCCATGGCGCCGTGCTCGTCGAAGCGGATGGCGTCCATCCAGTCGCTCTGGCCGGCCTCCAGGGAGTCCAGCGCCCGCGCGGCAGCCGCGCCTCCAGGCCGGAAGGCCTCGCCGCCTTTGTGTGGCTTCTGATCTGTCCCCACACGATCGGTGGGGTTATCGTGTGCGTCCTGCCCGCGCCGTCGTCGTCGTCGACTTCGTCGTCTTCCTCCTTTTCCCACTCCTCCTCCTCCTCCTCCTTCTCCTCCTTCTCCTCCTCGTCGTCGCTGTCGTCGTCGTCGTCGTCGCCGTCGTCGTCGCCGTCGCCGCCGCCGTCGCCGTCGCCGTCGCCGCTGCCGTCGCCGTCGCCATCGCCTCCTTCGCCGCCGCCGCCGCCGCCGCCGCCCTCTCACCTGCACCCGCCTTCTTCCCTTCACCCGCGCGCAGCACAGACACTGCGCCCACCTTGGAACGCGCGTCCACATGCAGCCGCACACGCACAGCACGCGAAAACACAAGCGCACGCGCGCGCGGACCCAGGGCGCTCCCAAGACGCGCGCACCCTGCCCGCCAAACCTGCACCGCACACGCACGCACACCCACGCACGCACGCATACCCACGCACGCACGCACGCACGCAGACACACACACACACACAGAGACACACACACACACACACACACACACACACACACACACACACACACACACACACACACACACACACACACACACACGCACACGCACACGCACACGCACACGCGCACACACACACACACACACCACACACGCACGCAGACACACACACACACACACACACACACACACACACACACACACACACATGCGCGCACACACATGCGCGCACACACGCACACACACACACACACACATACACGCACACAACACACACACACACACACACACACACACACACACACACACACACACACACACACACGGCGCCCACACGAGACTTAGGCGACCACATGACACGCACACCACACAGCATATACGCGTAGGAATTGCAAGACGTGGACGGAGTGGGCGCGGGGGTGCAGTCTCTATCCGTTGCAGGCGCGCAGGGCACGGCAGGTGTGGCACGCTCTCGACGCCAGAGGGGGGTGCGCAAGGGGTTCGGTCTCTATCCGTCGCGCGTACGCAAAAAGTGGCAGGCGTGGCTCTTCCTCGACACCAGAGGGGATCCGCAGGGGGTGCGGCTTCTATCCGTCGCACGCTCACGACGCGTGGCAGGCTTGGCGCGTCCTCGACACCAGAAGGAGGCTGCAGGGGGTGTGGTTTCTACCCGTCGCACGCTTGCAAAGCGTGGCGGGCGTGGCACTTCCTCGACGCCAGATGAAATGCGCAAGGGGTGACGTGTTTATCCGTCGCACGCTCGCAAAGCGTGGCACGTGTCGCACTTCCTCGTCGCCACGGGGGGGTGCGCAGGGGTTGCGGTCTCTATCCGTCACACGCTCGCAACGCGTGGCAGGCGTGGCGCTTCCTCGACACCAGAGGGGGTGAGCAGGGGGTGCGGACTCTATCCGTCGCACGCTCGCGACGCCTGGCAAACGTTTGCATTTCCTTGCCGCCGGAGGGTGTGCGCCGGGGTTGCGGTCCCTATCCGTCGCACGACTGCTAAGTGCGGTTGGCGTTGCACGCCCACGCCATCAGAGGGGGTGCGCAGGGGGTGCGATCTCTACCCGTCGCACGCTCGCACAGCGCGGCAGGCGTGGGATTCTTTGACGCCGGAGAGGGGCGCAGGCGTCCAGAGTTCTCGACTCCATCGCGGGGTGCAATGGCAGGGGGGGCGTGCCATGAGTCCCCCATCGCGGGGTGCAGATGCAGGGGCGCGTTTCATTCCCCACTTGCTTCGTGGGATTCCTGCTCCCAACCATCCTGTGGTGTTGGGTCCTCGTTTTGAAGAGACAGCGCCGCTCGTTCCCACTCCTCCTCCTACCCCTCCTCCTCCCCCTCCTCCCTCCTCCCACCCGCCTCGTCACCTCCCTGCGTTTCACCCACCCAGGACAGCGCTTCGTGGCCATATAGGGAGCTCCACCGAAGGCTCCAGTGGCACAGGCTGCATGCGTCAAGCTCCACCGAAGGCTCCAGTGACACAGGCCGCATGCGTCAACGCCACCCAGGACAGCGCTTGATGTCCCCATCGCTTCATGGCCCCATAGGGCTCCACCGAAGGCTCCAGTGGGCGCAGGCCGCATGCGTCAACGCCACCCAGGACAGCGTTTCGTGGCCCCATACGGAGCTCCACCGAAGGCTCCAGTGGCACAGGCCGCATGCGTCAACGCCACCCAGGACAGCGTTTCGTGGCTCCATACGGAGCTCCACCGAAGGCTCCAGCGGCACAGGCCGCATGCGTCAACGCCACCCAGGACAGCGCTTCGTGGCTCCATACGGAGCTCCACCGAAGGCTCCAGTGGCACAGGCCGCATGCGTCAACGCCACGGAGGACAAGTCTTCGTGGCCCCACAGGGAGCTCCACCGAAGGCTCCAGTGGCACAGGCCGCACGCGTCAACGCCACCGAGGACAGCGCTTCGTGGCCCCATAGGGAGCTCCACGGAAGGCTCCAATGGCACAGGCCGCATGCGTCAACGCCACCCAGGACAGCGCTTCGTGGCCCCACAGGGAGCTCCACCGAAGGCTCCAGTGGTACAGGCCGCGCGTTATCCGCACCTCCCCTCAGAACTCCTCCTCCCACCCGCGCGCAGCACCTGCACATCAGACATGGGCTCTTGTCCCCACATGCTGGGTAGGGTTCTCCCCCACATGCTTACTGGGGTTTTTGTTCTCTTCCCGCCCGCGTCGCACCCGCGTTCGCCCACCCCTCCCCTCTCACCTGCACCCGCCTTTTTCCTCTCATCCGCGCGCAACGCAAACTATGCATCCACATTGAAACGCGCGGCCACTTGCAGTCGCACGCACACACACACACACACACACACACACACACACACACACACACACACACACACACACACACACACACGACACAGACACAGACACAGACACAGACACAGACACAGACACAGACACAGACACAGACACAGACACAGGCACAGGCACAGGCACAGACACAGACACAGACACAGACACAGACACAGACACAGACACAGACACAGACACAGACACAGACACAGACACAGACACAGACACAGACACAGACACAGACACAGACACACACACACACACTCACACTCACACACACACACACACACACACACACACACACACACACACACACACACACATCACGCATACACACGAGACGGGCATGCAGATCTAGGCGCTCACATGACGCATATCACACAGCATGTACGCGTAGGAATTGCAAGACATGGACGGATTGGGCGAGGGGGTGCGGTCTCTATCCGTTGCAGGCGCGCAGGGCACATCAGGGCACGGCAGGCGCGGCGCGCTCTCGACGCCAGAGGGGGTCCGCAGGGGGTGCGGACTCTATCCGTCGCACGATCGGGAAGCGTGACAAGCGTGGCATTTCCTCGACGCCAGAAAGGAAGTGCGCAGGGTGCGCGGTCTCTATCCGTCGCACGCTCACGACGCGTGGCAGGCGTGCCATGTCCTCGACGCCAGAAGGGTTGCGCAGGGGGGGCGGTCTCTATCCGTCGCACGCTCGCATCGCGTGGCAGGCGCGGCGCGTCCTCGACACCAGGAAGAGGCCGCTGGTAATGCGCCGGGGGTGAGGTCTTTATCCGTCGCACGCTTGCAAAGCGCAGCAGGCGTGGAGTTTTTATGACGCCGGAGAGGGGGCGCAGGCGTCATTGTTGTTGGCTTCTCCGCTCCACTTCTCCCTTCCATTGCAGCCTCGCAAAGAATCCAGCTTCGCGCTACGGATATCCTGTCGCTGCGTTGGGCACTGCGATAGGCAGACGCTGATGCGTTGTTGGGGTTCAGATACGTTGGTTTCGCCACTGGGGTTCTCTTCTCCCTGCCACTCTGGCCTCGCAGAGAGTCCAACATCACGTCACGGATATCCCATCGTTGCGTTGAGACCTTCGACAGTCAAACGCCAATATGTTGATGGAGTTATGATGCGTTTGCTTCGTCGCGGGCCATATGTCGAAAGTGGTATTCTCGTAGTCTGCGTGCACCCCAGGGACTCTACGTCAAAAGTCGCGACGACGCCGTTTCGCCGCATGACAAAAACACACGCCCCTGGCAATTTCGAACAGAGCAGGGCGCAACATGACATGCCCACGCACCACGTAGAATAGGTACGGGGGGTCCTCGGTGGAGAAATATGTGTCTACTCCTATGGTGTGCTATCATCCCATGATCTTCTCTTGACCTGCAGCATTTGCATGTTTGGAGCAGGCCTCGCCTTCGGTGGGCGCCGCCCGGACCTGGAGCACGGTCGTGCGGGTCCCGGCGGGGTCCACGTCGCACTGCACCTCCCAGAGGCCGGTGCCCGTCGCCTGGGGGGTCCTCAGCACCGTCGCCAGGTACCACGTGCCCAGGTACTCGGCCTCGACCCGCGCCCCCGCGGGGAACTCCTCCTGGGGAGGGGGGGCGGAAGCACGGGATTCGTGATAGAGGGGTGGTGGTGGGGGGGGTCAGCTGCACGGAGGAGGAGGAGGAGGAAGGAAGGAGGAGGAGGAGGAGGACGGGAGGGGAGGGGGGAGGGGAGGGAGGGGAGGGGAGGGGAGGGGGGGGAGGGGAGGGGAGGGGGAGGGGAGGGAGGGGGAAGGAGAGGAAAGGGGAAGGGTGCATGATCCCTTCCACAGAGGGGCACGCTTCAAGCCGCTACGGAACGGAGGGGAGGGGAGGGGAGGAGAGGGGACAGAACTCCAACGTCGCCACTTTTTTCACAGCCTGGACCAGCGGCGGTCTCGACCTCCCCCCCCTCCCCGGGACCAGCCTTTCCTCCTCAGCCGTTTCCCGACGGCCCCCGGCGGCCCACATGGGGCCTCCGCAGGGCGCGGCGGTGCCCTGTGAACGCGGCCACCTGGGCCCTGGGCCTCCCCGAGCCACCGCCACCGATCCTCCCACGGGCCCGCCGTCCCCCCGATCCTCCCCACGGGCCCGCCGTCCCCCCCGATCCCCCCGATCCCCCCGAGGAGGGCCGGGCCCGCCGTCCCCCCCGATCCTCCCCGCGGGCGGCGCTGGCGGCCGCGGGCGCCGCGGCGGCGGCGGGGGCCCCGGCAGGCCCGGCGTCCTGCCCGCCGTCGGCGGCGGGGGCCGCGGCGAAGCTGGCGACGCCGTTCATGCCATCGAGCCCCATGGACCTATTGTTTAAAATATGTTTATTTATGTTTTTTTGAATTTTTTTCAACAAAAAAAATCGAGCCCCATGGACCGGCGCGTCAGCCCGCCGCTCGCCAGCAGCGCCGCGGCGCTGGGGAACTCCAGGGCCTCCTCGCGGAGGGGCCGCCCCAGATCCCCACGCCTGGCTCGTCGGGGGCGCGCTCGGTCCCCGCCCGCCCCTCGGCGCTCGGCCCTCCTCCTCCTCCTCCTCCTCCTCCTCCTCCTCCTCCTCCTCCTCCGCCTCCTCCTCCTCCTCCTCCTCCGCCTCCTCCCCTCTCCTCCTCCTCCTCCTCCTCCTCCTCCTCCTCCTCCTCCTCCTCCTCCTCCTCCTCCTCCCCCCGTCCTTCTTCCCCTCTTCCCGCACCCGTCCGTTCCCCCAAATTCCGCAGCCCTCGGTGTCTGTCCCGGACTGACGCGTTACAAGCAGTCCGTCTGGGGGACGCTTGGCCACCCAGAGATCCGACGCTCCCCAAAAATTGGAGCGGGCGGTTTTTGGCTGCTTTCGGCCTCTGGGGGCCCTCGCCGGGCCTCGGGAGCGGCAAAAAAAAAGACTCGGGACGAGAAAGTAACCTAAGGGAAGGGGTCCAGACCTCTGGGGCCCACGCATCGAATAAAATTGAGCAGCCAGATGTCTGGGCAAGCGGCACGTAGCTGACCCGTGAGTTCTTTGCGACTGCCACCTCGTATTTGTCTTTCTGCGGCGATGAGGACAGGCGCCATCCTGGACGCCGCGCCAGAACTGCAGCCGCTGTGCCGTCGAGACTCGGCGCATCGGCTCAGCCGAAGGCTGAAACACGTGGAAACCCAACCTTCAGAAGGCCTCCTTCAATGCCAGTGGCTGCTCCAAAAAGCCAAATGCTGTTTTCCCCCCGCCTCCTCCTCCTCCTCCTCCTCCTCCTCCTCCTCCTCCTGCTCCTCCTCCTTCAATGGCAGTGGATGCTCCAGAAAGTCAAAGGCTGTCTTAGCAGGGCATATGTCGACCCCTATCCCAGGCTTCGTGGGGTTCTCGAGTGGGCCGGGCCATAGATCGGGGCCCAACCCTGGGAAATACGATGGGGGCGAGCCCATCCTCGATGGGGGTGCGCCCGAACAGCCCCCTCGGGGTGTCTCCCAGGGCTTCCCTCCTTTCCTGCGCGGCCGCCTCTTCCGTCGAAGCGTCAGGGGCTGCGGGAGGACAATCGCCTGCGATGGTTTTTCCCCCTTCGTTGAAACCCAATCTTCAGAAGACCTGCTTCATTGGCAGTGGATGCTCCGAAAAGTCACCTGCTGCTTTTCCCCTTTTTCCTCCTCCTCCTCCTCCTCCTCCTCCTCCTCCTCCTCCTCCTCCTCCCTCCTCCTCCTCCCTCCTCCTCCTCCTCCTCCTCCTCCGCCTCCTCCTCCTCCCCTCCTCCTCCTCCTCTTCCTCCTCCTCCTCCTCCTCCTCCTCCTCCTCCTCCTCCTCCTCCTCCTCCTCCTCCTCCTCCTCCTCCAAAAAAAAAGGCTGCTGCTCCCCCCCCCGTTTGTGTCCTCCGCGGCCGGCGCGCGGCGGATGCGCCGCAGCGCCCAGGCGACCGGCTCGCAGAAGGGGGCCGGCTCGCCGCCGTACTTCTCGTGCTCGTGGGCGGAGGGGTGCAGGCAGTACAGCAGCAGCCCCGGGTTGGAGCTGCACACGACGGGGCCCCGCGTGCGCTCCTCGGGAGAAGGGCGAGCAAGGGGGAGGAGAAGAGGAAGAGGAACAAAGGAGGAGACTGAGAATCGTATTCGAGCGCGTGCTAATAACAATAGTGGTGAGAAGACGATGGTACGAATACTAACAACAACCACCAACCACCACCACCACCACCACCACCACCACCACCACCACAACAACAACAACAACAACAACAACAACAACAACAACAACAACCACAACCACAACCACAACCACAACAACAACAACAACAACAACAACAACAACAACAACAACAACAACAACAATAATACAACAACAACAACAACAACAACAACAACAACAACAACAACAACAACAACAACAACAACAACAACAACAACAATTACTAGCACGTGGGGACACTCCGTTCTCACCAGTGCCAGGGTTTTCATAGGAGGCGGGCAATACCCCCACTTTGTGGGGGGGCCGGTTCAAGCTCTACCAAATTTCCAAACGACTCTTCGCCACCACCCACACCCAGCTTCCCGCCCTATGACGTTCGGACACTTCACTTCGTGGCATGCGGACGACCGTGGCTACTATTCAGGGCCCCGCGGCCGACGACGACGGCGTGCGCGCGCGAAGAAAAAACGAATGTGTCCCGCATGGTATTATTTGACAGGGATGATGGCCCTGGCAGGTGCGCAACCGTTGTTGCAGAAGTTCGAAAAAGTTGCTCGCAAAAGCCCGTTTGACAGAAATGTTTAAAAAGTGTTGGGTTTCCTACGAATCCGCAAGAGCGCGCGGGATGAAATTTTGACATTTTTTTTGAAAAACCATTGGTTTTTTGATGTTTTTATGTTAAAATCGCTACGAAAACTAAGGTTTTGGAAGGATTTCGTCTTGCGCGCGCGAATGTCCACTTTACCTTATTTTTTGCAAGGGATTCTTGAAGTTTGATTATGTTAGAACAAGAAATGTCCACTGTAGCTTATTTTTTGCAAGGGAAAACGGGGGACAACAAAACAACCGGATCTGGACCAACCCGTTTTGCCTGAGACTTCCTCACGAAAATGATGAAAATGAGGCTGCGGCCTAGGCGCGGCGGGGGGGGCGTGCACCAGGGGTCCCAACAATAATTATTCTTAAGAAGAAATAATGTTCAACAACAACAACAACAACAACAGCAACAACAACAACAACAACAACAACAACAACAATCACAACAACAACAAAAATAACAACATCAACAACAACAACACCAACAACAACAATAGCAGCAGCAGCAGCAACAACAACAACAGCAAAACAACATCAACAACGACAACAACAACGACAACAACAACAGCAACAAACATCAACGACGACAACAACAACAACAACAACAACCACAATCATTTTACCCGAACGCTCAGTGTTCTCACCAGTGCCAGGGTTTTCATGCGACGCGAGACAATACCCCCACTTCGTGGGGGGGCAGTTCAAGCTCTACCAAATATCCAAACGACTCTTCGCGACCACCCAAACCCAGCTTCCCGCCCTATGACGTTGGGACACTTCACTTCGTGGCGTGCGGACGACCGTGGCTACTACACTGGCGTGGGGTACACACCCACAGAACTTGGTCACTTATTCGGGGCGCGCGTGTGCCCAGCATCCTGCAATTGTGACATACAATACATGACACAGACAGACAGAGAGAGAGACAGAGAGCAGACAGAGAGAGAGACAGAGAGAGCGGAGTTGGTCACATTTTTGGGGCAAGTTCCTGAGATCGTCGTGTTTTTTGTTGGTCTTGCGCGCGCGAATGTCCACTTTACTTTTTTTTGCAAGGGATTATTGAAATTTGATTATGTTAGAACAAGAAAAAGTAGCTCGCGCGAGCTCATGTAACATAAATGTTGAAAAACCATTGGTTTTGTGGGATTCGGACAGCGCGCGCGGAAGGACATTTTGACAATTTTTTCTTAAAAAACCATTGGGTTTTTGATGTTTTTATGTTAAAATCGCTACGAAACCTAAGGTTTTGGAAGGATTTCGTCTTGCGCGCACGAATGTCCACTTTACCTTATTTTTTGCAAGGGATTCTTGCAATTTGATCAAGTAAGAACAAGAATTTTCATTTTCTATTGTTTTTTGCAAGGGAAAACGAGCGTCAACAAAAAACCGGATCCGGAGCTCATCCACTTTTCTGAAGCTTTCGCGAAAAAATGATGAAAATGTAGCTGCGGCCTAGGCGCGGCGCAGAGGTCGCGCACCAGGGGTCCCAACAATAATAATTCTTTAGAAGGAATAATGTTCAACAACAACAACAACAACAACAACAGCAGCAACCACAACAACAACAACAACAGCAGCAACAGCAGCAACAACAACAACAGCAGAAGCAGCAGCAGAAGCAGCAACAGCAACAGCAGCAGCAGCAACAACATCAACATCAACATCCACAGCAGCAATACGAATGAGAATGGCAATGGCAACAGTAATGCAAATATTAATAGCAATAGTAAGAACAAGAAACAGAAGAAGAAGGCATACGCTCAGCCCGCACGGCTTCCTGCGCTGGGCCCCCCCCCTTGACCGGGGAGCCACGCGGGGCCGCGCCCGACGCGAGAAGCCCCGGGCCGACCCCCCGGATCCGACGGGGCCGTGCCGCGGCCTGCCCCCCCCCCGGCTCCTGCATGCACACGATCGCCAGCAGGAAGACCCGGTTGCCGCCGCCGCCAAACCTGCGGGGCGCACAGACCCACAAAAGAAACGCTCTCGCCGCCGCCTTAGCCGCTTAGCCTTCCGCCGCCGCCAAACCTGCGGGGCGCACAGACCCACAAACAAAAACGCTCTCATCTTCTTGGGGGGCACGTCGCCTAGCCTTCCGCCGCCGCCAAACCTGTGGGGCGCACAGACCCACAACGAAAACGTCTTCATCCCTTGGGGGGCGCGCCGCTTCGCCTTCCGCCCGCCTTCTCCGCCGGCCTCTTCCCGCCGGCCTACGCCGGCGGAAGGGGCTGGCCTCGCTGTATGCTCCCGCCGCCCTTCCGCCGAGTCCCTCCGCCGGCCTCTTCCGCCGCGGATCCCGCGATCGCTCTCACTCCACGGGGCACCGCGGGACACCACGGGGCACCGCGGGACACCGCGGGACACCTGTGGATCTCACTATCGACCTCGCTATCGATCTCGCTTTTTGGGGGCACCACGGGACACCACGGGACGCCTCGGGGCACCACATCGATCTCAGTATCGATCTCACTACCGATCTCACTATCGATCTCACTATCGATCTCACTCAACGGGACACCACGGGACACCGCGGGACACCGCGGGACACCGCTAGGGCCACCGCCAGACGGACGGACGGACGGGGGAGAATCATGTGTCTTGACTTCGCCCTAGCAACGGCGGGTTCATTCCTCTCGCGCGCCCACGCAGTTTCGCCTCGCCCGCACGCACGACACGAACGAAACGAAACGATTTCCCGGTTGGGGGTCTCCGTTCCACTGCGATCTCACCCCCCAACCTCCGACTAGATGTCCTCCTTGGAGGCGCGCGTCCGACCCGAGCATAGAGCGTACCCTCTTGCAGTAGATCGTTCCCCGAGCGGCGTGGCCAGAGAGCGGCCGCCATGACGCATATACTAGAAGATTTCTCGGTGCGCGCGTCTCCCCTGGGAGGGCGACGCAAATATAGTATTACTATATTGGGGTGACGCCGAACCTGGGCGGCCACGCGTGCGCCCTACCAAGGCCAGCCTCGGCCCCCGCTGCTGGATCACGCGGCTCGCTGGCAGGTTCCTCCACGGCAGCCACGCGCCGACTTTCGTGGTCTGAGCGGGCTCTTTTTAGGTCGGGCATGTCCTCCTGCAGGCGGATTTTGGAAGAGACATAAAAAGCAGCCCAACAATGCTCAAAGATAACCAGCAATAGTAGAAGAATCATCCACTGACTATTTTCACTATTTTTGAATGTTCCTTCTGTAAAAGGATACGCCCGACTCAAGGCTCCTTCCATTATCCGCCTTTCAGACGAAGCCAGGACGTGGATACAATCGGGGGTGGATAAATCTAGAATCTCTGAGATCCGGCGGCACTGAGGGATGCCTCGGGCGCCGCGGCCTTCTCGGAGCGCGCCGGAACGCTCTGAGAGCGTTCCGGAACGCTCTGGAACGGATCTACCCTCGTCCTAGCCCCGCCGGACCCTCGCGCCCTGTCTTCCCAGACATGCGACGTCCTGATTTTTTCAGGACGGCGTCCCTGGAAGTCCAGACCCTTTCCCCGGGGCCGGTTTTTCGTCCTGACTCGTTTTTTGACAGTCCCGAGGCCCGGCGAGGGCCCCCCGGGGCCGAAAATAGCGAAAAACCTCCGTCCTGATTTTTTACGACGCCATCATGTCTGGGTTCTCATCCTTCGTGCCTCAGTTCGCAAGGGTGCCTCCCACCGTTTGCGGACCGGCGTCCGGCCGTCCATTGGGCACCCGGCGCGCGGAGGACGGCAGGGTGCGCCCTGCCCCTGCCTGGGCCAGATCCTCGGAGCCCCGAGACACTGAAGGGGCCCCAGGACACACAAATAAATACACACAGATCAAAATATTCCCCATATTTTCTGATATTTTCTGGGCTTCTGTCTTCCCCCCCACTTCCCCCATATTTCCCCAGATTTTCTGGGGAATCGACGATTCATTGTGTCTGTGGGTGTTTCTTTCCCTCCCGAGGCACCCGGGGTGGGGGGCGCCTGGCGCCGCGAGGGCGAGCGAGCGAGGGGCCCCCCCTCCAGTCCGAGTCGGGGAGGCGGCGGGAGCAGGGCCCAGACTTCCTCCTCCTCCTCCTCCTGCTCCTCACCCTCCTCCTCCTCCTCCTCCTCCTCCTCCTCCTCCTCCTCCTCCTCCTCCTCCTCCTCCTCCTCCTCCTCCTACTCCTCCTCCTCCATCCTCCTCCTCCTCCCTCCTCCTCCTCCTCCTCCCCTCCTCCTCCTCCTCCTCCTGCTGCTCCCCTCCTTCAATGGCAGTGGATGTTCCAGAAAGTCAAAGGCTGTCTTAGCAGGGCATATGTCGACCCCTATCCAGGCTTCGGGGGTTCTCGAGTGGGCCGGGCCATAGATCGGGGCCCAACCCTGGGAAATACGACCTCCTCCTCCTCCTCCTCCTCCTCCTCCTCCTCCTCCTCCTCCTCCTCCCAGACGTCCACCGGTACGGCGAGGGCATTGGATGAGGAGCCACAGATAGCAGGAAGCCAGGGTCTGGCAGCCGGTGCAACGCCCATTGAGGCTTGACCACGACTGTCGCCGCCGCCCTCATCGGACAAGGAATTCTCCAGGGGGGTCTGGAGCTTCCTGGGCACCTTCCTTAACGAACGCCCCCACCGTATGACCTTTTCAATCCGCGGCCCAGGAGGTCCCCACCCCTTCCTCGGGCGTGGTCTTCCGTCCCGGATCCATGTTTGATGGTCCTCGGGCCCGATGACGGGCCCTGGAGGCCGACATCCGTGAGAAAACGCTGGAGTGACAAAACCATATCCTCTGGATCTTTGGGTTCGTCACCAGACACCTCTGGACCAGCTCCGCGTGGAGCTCGTCCACGCGAGACAGCTCGTCGGTGGTGCACAGGGCGCGGACGAACAGCGTCGTGGGCGACGTCCGGCCCAGCTCCGCAAGCCGGTCGATGCGGCGCTGCAGCCTGTCCCTGGCATCCGCGTCCCGGATGTCGTCGTGCCGGGGAGGCGGAGGGAGGGGGGAGGAGGGAGGGAGGGAGGCGGAGGGAGGGAGGGAGGGAGGGAGCGAGGGAGGGAGGGAGGGAAGGGGGGGAGGGAGGGAGGGAGGCAGCGAATGGGGGAGGAGGGAGGGAGGGAGCGAGGGAGGGAGGGAGGGAGCGAGCGAAAAAGGAAGGGAGGGAGGGAGGAGGAGGAGGAGAGGAGGGGGAGGAGGAGAGGAAGAGGAGGAGGAAAGGAGGAGGAGAAGGAGGGAGCAGGGGGAGCAGGAGGAGGGGAGGGGGGGTGAAGGCGGAGAAGGAGGAGGATGAGAAGGAGGAGGAGGAGGAGGAGGAGGAGGAGAGATGAGAAAGGAGGAGGAGGAGGAGGAGGAGGAGGAGGAAGAGGGGGAGGAGGAGCAGGAGGGGCAGGAGGAGGAGGAGGGGGAGAAGGACGAGGAAGAGGAAGGGGAGGAGGAGGAGGAGGAGGAGGAGGAGGAGAATCAGAAGGAGGAGGAGGAGGAGGACCAGTAGTGTAAACCCAAGAGTCATCAACGATATTGGAATTAACCCTCCCTCCAAGCTCCCTCTTCATAGGCCCCCACAACGGTTATCTCCATTGAGGGGACTGCCCCGTTGGACGACAACCGCTTGAAGACCTTGAAGCATGCGAAAACATTGCTCTCGGGACTTCCACGCCACGGATCAACCTGACTGCTGTGTCCTGGCGATCTGGAAACGTGCCAGAACGCCATTTGTTGGACTTCAAAACCGCGAATCAACATAACTGTTGCACCCGCTTGATCCTCAACCCTTTCAAAACACCAGTCCTGGTACGCTGATCATTGGAATCCGTGAAATCCTTGCAGGAGTTGGAAACAAATGCACGCGGCGCTAAAGCGAGAGCCACGTTTTGAAAACCAACCGCCCTCAATCCGTGAAACTATTGAAGATGTTTAAGCCGAGTTTGCGCTGCGCTAAGGTGAGAGCCACATTTTGAAAACCAACCGCCCTCAATCCGTGAAGCTCTTGAACATGTTCATGAAAAATGCACGCGGCGCTGAGGCAAGAGCCACATTTTGAAAACGGCCGCCCTCAATATGTGAAGCTCTTGACGAAAAAAACAATACACAAAAACGAATGCGCGCGGCACTAAGGAGAGAGCCACGTTTTGAAAACCAACCGCCCTCAATCCGTGAAATTCTTGGAAATGCTTAAAACGAATGTGCGCGGCGCTAAGGCGAGAGCCACCTTTTGAAAACCAACCGCCCTCAATCCGTGAAGCTCTTGAAAATGTTAAAAACGAATGTGCGCAGCGTTAAAGCAAGAGCCACATTTGGAAAAACAGACGCCCTCAATCCGTGAAGCTCTTGTATATTTTCAAAACGAATGCGCGCGGCGCTAAGGCGAGAGCCACATTTTGAAAACTTCTCGCTGCACCCCGACAGGGACAAATTATTTGAAAGGAAAAGGAATTGGAGAAGAGCGAGGGGGAAGAGGAGGAAGAGGAGGAGGAGGAGGAGCAGGAGCAGGAGGAGGAGGAGGAGAAGGAGGAGAAGGAGGAGGAGGAGGAGGAGGGAGGAGGAGAAGGGAGGAGAAGGAGGAGGGAAGAGGAGCAGGAGGAGAAGAAGGAGGAGGAGGAGGGGGAGGGGGAGAAAGGGAGGAGGAGGAGGAGGAGGAGGAGGAGGAGAGGAAGGAGGAGGAGGACGACGACGACGACCAGGGGCAGAGGGAGGAAGGGGGTAGGAGAAAGAGGAGGGAGGAGGTTTCAGACGTCGTCGTGCCAGGGGGGGCAGGGGAAGGAGGTGAGGAGCGAGAGGAGCACCAGGAGGAGGTGAGGCATACTACCGCGCTGCGATTCCTGCGCGCCTCAGATTCCGCACATCAATCGCGACGAGGACGACCATGACGACGAACACGACGACGACGACGACGACGACGACGACGACGACGACGACGACGGCGACGCGAACGACGACATACACTACCATAGTCGACAACGGACGGCGACGACGCGACGACGGCGACGGCGGCCTCCATCCTCTCCTCCCCGCCTGACCCCCCCTCCTCCTCCCGCCTCCTCCCCTCCCACATTTCCTCGGCCCGCACCACAGGTCACTCCGGCGAAGGGACACTTGTTACGTATAGCCGACTGAAGCCATGCCCCGCCCTCTCCTCCGCCGGCCCTCCGCTTCCCCGCCTCCCTGCGGGAACTTCTGCTTAGCGTGTCGCGGCGGCGGCCCCGGCGACACGCTATGCCGTGCAAGCAGGTAGCGCGTCGCTCCGCTCAACGGGGCGGAAGGCTCGGGAAAGCTCAGGACATTGACGCTTGGGAATGGGGACGTGGATAGCGCGTCGCGCCGAAGCGTGGTAGGCCGGAACCAGCGGAGAGACACGCTAAGCAAAAGTTCCAGACCGTATAGCCAAGGGGTCAGGATAGGGCCCAGCTCTTCTGCTTGTGCCCCAGCGCCAGAAGGAATGCCCAGACCCTCGAAAAGCCAGCAAGTTCGTGCCGGGCACCGCTATCGGGTCGTCCAAGCCGTCGTAAAAGGTGCCGAAGTCGGTCTGCAAGAACTCGATCACTTTCTCGATGCGAGTGCGCATCCAATCGAAAGGGAGCGTTGCAGATCCGATACCCAGCTTGCGGAAGCTCAGCTTTATGCCGCAATAGCTTCCCAGGGACACCAGGGCTACGTCGCCATCGGTCACGTCGATGCTGGCTGTGCCCTGCTCATCGCCTAGGTTCGCCGTAACATTGCTCATGGCATTTGCGCCACCGTTCCTTCAGGGGGGTGCTGGTCATGGGCTTGCCAGAGTTCGTGAAACGCATGCCTCGGGGCAGCCTTCTGGAGGTCGACCAAAACATGACGAAAACATGTTGTTGCACTGTCTGACGGCAGCCCTGCTATGGACTCTCCGACGGCCAGCAGTGGCCAAAGCCTTGCTAACCCTTGGGAAACGTGCGCCTAAAATCGCTTGATGAGGCCGACCGGCTTGGCAATTCGAGAGGGAAGGAGGGAGGAACGAGCAAAGCTGAGTGCTCCAGCACGATGCGCGCACCCGCGCAAAACCTGGGCCAGGGGCTTGGGCCAGGGGTGGCCTGCCGTGCAGCAGGGTTCACGTGGCGATGACGTCGGCGTTGGAATCTGACACCGCCTCGAGCGATCGCGAAAGTTCAAAGGCGAGGGTCGCTCGAGATCGGCCAGCTCTGGGCCACCGGAAGAAACTCAGAGTTCGAGCGACCTCGCCAGGGTCGCCGAGGCGCCGGCGCAAGACGAACCCTTTCTTGGCGGTCCCGGGACCGGGGGAGGCCCCTCCTCCTCCTCCGCCTCCGCCTCCGCCTCCTCCTCCTCCTCCTCCTCCTCCTCCTCCTCCTCCTCCTCCTCCTCCTCCTCCTCCTCCTCCTCCTCCTCGGGACCCGCGAAGGGCCCCGAAAACCCTGGAACGGCGGAAAACCTCAGGGCCCGTGTCCCTCAGGACCCGTCTGCTAGCCGGCGAGCGCCGGGCCCGTCGCCTGCGCCCTGCCCGCGGGGCGGGAAGCACATCTCGCCGCCCTCCCCGAAGCGGAGGCCCTCCATCCAGTCGCTCGAGCCGGCCTTGAGAGGCCTCCCAACTGGGGTCCGAGCAGATGGAGCCGGTGGATCACGCCGACATCGGCGATGTCTCGGCGATGCCTCGGCGACGCATCGGCGATGCATCGGCATGGAGAAGCCGCACTCTACATCGAGTCGCCTTCCCGGTGCCTCGGCGACACGGCGCGATCCACCGACTCCATCTGCTCGGGCCCCGAAGAGGAGGAGGAGGAGGAGGAGGAGGAGGAGGAGGAGGAGGAGGAGCAGGAGGAGGAGGAGGAGAAGGAGGAGGAGGAGGAGGAGGGGGGAGGGGAGGAGGAAAAGGAGGAGGAGGAGGAGGAGGAAGAGGAGGGGAGGAGGAAGAGGAGGAGGAGGAGGCGGAGGAGAAGGAGCTTTGAGATGCCTGGGGCCTTGGCCCCCCCATCCATCGCACGAGCAGGGCGCTCTGGCTGGCGCTCGGGGGACGGGGCCTGCGACGCTGCGGGCAGCTTGGGCCACAGCGGCCGCTGACCGACCTCGACGGACGGCCCTTGCTTCTGTCCACCATCGAGCGCTGCCGCGATCGCCAAACCAGCATCGCCTGGAAGCGTGTTGTCAAAGCACCTGCGGAGAGGCCCGAGCATTTGCGACGAAGCCGTACGCACGCCCCGGGGAGAGCCTCGCTGGGCACACGCCGTCTCGGTACCATCACACTTGCCTGCCCTGCCCTGCCGGCTTGCGCGAGGCCGGCGCGGGTCACCGCAGCCCCGCGGATGGCTCCAGCGCGCTGGCACCCCCTCGCCCCTCTCGCGGGGGATCTCCAAGGCAGACATCAGTTGACAGTGTATCCAGAGAAGCCGCCCGTCAGCCGTAGACCCCTGTCACGAGCAAGCAGCCCTTCTCCCGCCTCCCTCCTCGCGGCCTCCGGCTCAGACCACGATCCTGTCATGGCCAGAACAGGCGCAGTGGGAGCAGGACGGAGAGAAATCGGGAAGGAAGCGGGGGGGATGAAGAACGGCGGTCATCAGGGAGTGGAGAGGACAGGATGGGAAATCTGCTGAAGGCCTGGTGCGGTCTCTGCAAGCGTATCCGCGACTGCGCCGTAGACACTGAGTGGGTATTCCTAAGGTTCCTTCGAATTCTCTGCTTTGAGTATTGCACACGTTCTGTGTACCTGGCCCGGCCCCGTGAGTTCCGCGTACTTCTTGGGTTTCTCGCATGACTTCCCCACACAAATGTTCGCCATCTTGGACCCCATACAATGTGCTTCTAACCATATAAGTGGCGCAATCCATTTGGTGCAATATGTGTGGAGCTGTATATGTCGTGCAAGGTATGTAGTACAAGAAAAGGTTGTACCATCTACGTTGTGCAACCTAAAGGGTGCAACGCATGTTGTACAACCTATGTGGTGTAGTAGATGTCGTGCACACTCTATGCGGTGCAATAGATCTTGTGCAACCCACGAACTGCAATCGATGTGGTACAACCTTTGTGTTGTCAGATTCGTGGTGTTACATATACGCAGTGCCATCTATGTGGTCCGATCTACGCAGTGCAATCTACGTGGTGCAGTCTGTGATGTGCAATTAATTTCTGACCGTCTTGAAACTGTCCTCTCCACTGCTCGAGCAAACATCCCACCCTCCCACCCGCAACTTGGTCGCAAGACCTCTTAAGACAAGACCGTGACGGTAGGTACCAGATGGCACTTGGCCACGACACCGACGCCGACGACGACAGCGACAACGACGACGACGACGATGACAACGACGACGACGACGACGCAGACGACGACGACGCCGATGACGACGACGACGAAGACAACGACGACGACGACGACGACAACGACGTCGCCAACGAAGACGACGACGAGGGAGGAGGGAGGACGACGACGGCGACAACGACGACAACGACGATAACGACGAGGGAGGAGGGAGGACGGCGACGACGTGAACGACGAAGAAGGAGGAAGGACGGCGACGAGGACGACGACAACGACGAGGGAGGAAAGAAGACGCCGACGACGCAACGCAAGAAAGCGCGCACGCTTTTCTTGAAAATCCGTGTTGCGAAACCTTGGGCTTTGTAGGTTTTTTGGACACACGATTTTGAAATGCTTCCGAAACCAATGGGTTTTGAAGGATTTCGGCATACGCGCGCGACTACCCGCGCGTCTGCACGTCGGCCCATTTTTTGCAAAGGATTCTCGCGACGCCACACGCGCAAGGGCGTTCGACAGATTTCGACATGCGCGCGCGAAGCCCGTTTAATAGCATGTTTGGAAAATCTTGAAAAACCTATGGTCTTCTTAAGATTTCGCAAGAGCTCGCGCGGAAGCTTTTTTAGCACATCAGTGTTGCGAAACCCTGGTATGTTTTTTGGAAACCCGATTGCGAAATCCTTCCGGCACCGAAGGTTTTTGAAGGATTTCGGCGTGCGCGCGCGACGACGCGCGCGTGTGCACTTCGTCCCGTTTGTTGCGAGGGATTCGCGAAAAAGTGCTATGTTAGAACAAAAAATGTCACCACATAGTGTTTTTCACAAGGGAACCTCAGGGGGGGATACCGGCCGGCCTGGGATAGTGTAAATTCATATTTAGGATGGACATGTGGTCAGAATCATATTTGATTTACATACCCGAAAGGGGGATTAATAACGCCGAGGGGGGGGGTAGAGCCTATCATGTTTTTAGTGAGGAGAATCTATGTGGTGCTATCTGTGTGGTGCGATATCTGTGGTGCAATCTTAGTGGTGCATTATATGTGGTGCAATCTCTGTGGTGCAGTATATGTGGTGCAGTCTATGTTGTGCAAGTCCAGGTGGTGCAATCTACGTTGTGCAAATCCAAGTGGTGCAATCTACGCGTTGCAATATACGACGGGCGACGAGGAGGCGGCGACGGGGCGGCGACGGCCACAAATTGGCCGCCAGACCGCCCGTCAGGCGTAGACGACGGGCGGCGACAAGGCGGCGACTGCGACAACTTGGCCGCCAGACCGACCACCAGGCCCAGACGACGGGTGGCGACAAGGCGGCGACGGGGCGGCGACCGCGACAACATACAGCCGAACATATCATCAAGAAAATCATGATTCAAGAAAGCTGGGCCAGCTTCCCGCAAGGTTCCTAAGACAAAGTGGACCAACTTCTGCTGTTGACGCTGGAGGGGCGAACGTGCCCAAGAAACTCGACCAGCGTTCTCACTGGTTGGTTAAGAAACGCTGGCCCAGCTTTTCGGAAAGAAATTTCTGAATCTAATGCTCGACAGTAGCCGCCAGACAGACCGTCAGGCCCAATTCCGTGGACCTGAAGTAAGAGCCCCTACGTGCAAGCACTGCTCGGGGAAGTCACCGGAAAGCCACATCATGTTTTTTCAGCGTTTTCGGCCGCGGAGGGAAAGGGCCTCGAGAGCGGCACAGTGGCGGGATGGCCCAGAGGGCACCAGAACTCATTTGCCGCTCCACCGCATACCTCAGGCTGTCTTCAGCGCTCCTTCGCCTCAACCCTCCTTCTTCACCACCATGCTCTTCCACTCTGCATTCGCCTGGGTTATCTGTTCCTCTCACCTGCACATCGAAGCTCCTCGTAATCGTCGAACGTCATCTCCCCATTCATCAGCTTGTCCATGTACGGCTTCAGCTCCGGAGTATCCTTTGAGCACAATGGGGCTGGCAATTAGACGTATCAGGAAGATACGTCAGGTGTAGCACGCTCCCTCCAACTCCACATTTCCCTCACCCTCGCCATCCTCCTTCTCCCCCTCCCCCTCTTCCTCCTCCTCCTCCTCCTCCTCTTCTTCTTCTTCTTTCCTTCCTCCTCCTCCTCCTCCTCCTGCTCCTCCTGCTCCTCCTCCTCCTGCTCCTCCTCCTCCTCCTCTTCCGTACGGAACGCAGCTTGGACGTGACCTCAGATCTTCAACCGCCCCCTGTGCGCTCAGCGGCCGATGCCCAGCACCGTCGGATGGCCTGCACCAAACGGGGTGGAGACCGCGAGGGGGGAGGGGGCTCCGAGGCTCTCCAGCCGCTGCTGACTGCTGGGGCCCGAGGACGCCGCGGGGTGCGCGGTCCTCGAGGTTCTGCGGGAGCCCCGATCTCGGTGAAGGGCTTCGCTCATTCGGCCCAGCGAGGGGTCCAGGAGGAGGAGGAGGAGGAGGAGGAGGAGGAGGAGGAGGGAGAAGGAGGAGGAGGAGGAGGAGGAGGAGGGAGGCTCTTCGGGCAGTGCTCCTCGGGCAGGGCGTTCTCACCCAGGTTGCTGCAGGCGGCCCGTCTCATAGGGATGCGCGGGAAGGCTGCAAAGGCCTTGGAGGCCCATGTTAATCTACGTATGTCGAGCGAGGTTGGCCAGCGAAAGTCGCTAAGGATGGGCCGAAAGGGCAAGGATGCCAGGGTACCCCAGATTTCGTAATAAAGGGAGGGGGGTCTCATTTCGGGGGGGGTCTCTTCCAGGCTATCTTGGAGGGCCTGGGGGGGTCTGGGGACGATGTTTTGGAGGGTTCTCCCACGGGGGAGGTCTGAAATGGCTTGTCTTGGAGGGTCCAGACCCCCTCCCTTTTATTACGAAATCTGGAGTACCCTTGGGAAGGTTGCCCATCCTTACTGTGCGGGTTGCCTGACATTCTACTCAACCTGCGAGCCGGCAGCCTGGAACAAAAGCTTCGAGACCGTGGCTGCGGAGGGGCACAGTGCAGAGGGGCTGCGTGGCCAAACGCTCCCACTCTCTGCTGCCTCGCATGGACCATGCGATTCTGGCCAGAGAGACCCCATTCTCAAAGACGATTCAGATACTGCGCCGATGCCAGAGCAAACCACACAAAAGGTGCGAGCGAGGAGGGTGACGCTGAGGATGGGCCAAAACTTTGCAGCTGCGCGATACTCGGAATCGAGCACCTCTTGCTGCCAGAGGAAGCCTGCTGCTGGAGTAGCAAAAACGAGCTTCAGCGCCCATGGCGCTGCTCTGCGAGCAAGCAAGAGCGCTAGAGGTACTGCGGATCCAGGCGAGAGTAGTTGTGCGCAGGCCCAAGATGAGCCGCACATCCCTTCTAGATGCGACAGGCCCCTTCCATAGGCGACCCCTTTTGTCTGTTGACAGCCTCACCACTTCCACGTAGAATAGGCGCCCCCCCTTCTGCAGTCTGACCTAGCTACGCGCAGTAC